AAAAAACAAGCAAGGGCCTGGGGAGATGGCTCAGTAGAATAAGCGCTTCCCTGGCAAATGCAAGGGCCTGAGTTCAATCCCTGGTCCCCCCCCCAAAACAAAAAACAAAAAAAAAACCCCAAGCAAACAAGTCCCTTAATTAAGATTGGATGTGTGAGAGAAAAAACAGGGCAAACAACCTATAGGTAGGAGCCAGCAAACTTTTAATTCCAAGAATATGACATGATACACTGACCAGATACTCTTTATTGACATATATTAAGGCACACTGGAATATAAGAGGGGTCCAATGGTCAGTTATGTGAGACAGGATTAAGGAAGCCCTGGACTGAGGAAGCTTCATATGGAGTAGTTATCTAGGGTGTCGTAAAGCCAAATGGGTAGGGCGGGGAGATAGCTCAGCAGATTAAGCACTCGCCTGGCAAGCACAGGGTCCTGAGTTCAATCCCCAGTATTCTCCCCCCACCCCTGCAAAAAAAAGCCAAAGGGGAAATATGCAAGGTGTGGTAACACATGCCTGGAGACAAAGGTAGGAGTAGGCCTGGCCTATGCAAGTGACTATAGGGCTAGCTACATAGAGATTCAGGGACTAGGATTGGTGTGCCGTGCCCCCGGGGTGCATTCAAACAGCAACTGACACTGGGCCTGGTGGTGTCTGTAATCCAGCGCTTGGGAGGCTGAAAAAACAGGAGGATCACAGTCCAATCTGGGTAGTGAGACCCTTTATACAATGAATGGAAAACTGCCAGGCATTCAAAAGGCCAACATTTCCCACAGAACTATTATCAGAACTAAGCAAAACTGACCTCCAGCGGGACTTATCTCCACTGCAGGACTCCAAGGGGAGGCACTACAAAGAACTAGCAGGGATGGAAAAGCAGGTAAAGGAAGATGTTGAATATGCCCAGCATCAAGGGGGCTGAGCAGTGAAACACATGGAAGACTCCAGTACCCTCCTGGATTTCATGTAAAGTCTTTGTACCCTTAATATGCTTTAAATTCAATTAAAAAAAAATCAGCATCCACAGAGGATCATTTATTACTGACAACAAATATATTGTCACTATAAATTTTCTTCAGGGTTGAAAAAGAAATACTAGAAAATTTACTACTACTCAAAAGGTTATCCTTAAATAGTACAAGGCTGGCCACAGTAGATGAAAGAAAATGTGACCTCAAAAACAAAATGAGATTTTGTAGGTACAAATATGGAAACTAACATAAATACACCAATACTGCTAACATCATAGAAACAGCACCTACTATTTTATTGACTAAAGCAGCTTAGTAGTATGAGCAACATGTAACCAATTTTAGTAAGAATTTTTTTTTGTGGTACTGGGGATTGAACTGAGGACCTTGCACTTGCCAGGCACAAGCTTATTCTACTGAGCAGGGGGCCTGCCCCGTAGCTCAGCTCTTTAAGTGGCTGCTTCAACAAAGCAGTCAGGCTCAGGTTGCTGTGGTTCTTCGATCCCCACAACTCAAGCCAGCTAAACCTGCCCTGAAGGCATTCAGAGAGAGAAGAGAAAAAAAAAAAAAAACAACAACGAAAAAACCAACTGGTCCTTATTCTACTGAGCTATCTCCCCAGCCCTTCAGTAAGAAATTTAACATTTAAGAAAATGCAGTTTCAGCAAGATAAAATACCATGACTTAGCTGTGTATTAAGTAGGAGCATACAGTTTGAAGCCAGCTTGTGCAATTCACTTACATGTAATTAGGTACAAAGACTTGGGTTCAATCCTCAGTACAACAAAACAAAAAAACTTGGCTGGACACACACTCAGACTGTGGAACCACAAAGACTGCCAAGGGTTCAAAGACACCCTGGATTGCATAGTGAGACCCTATCTCAAGAAAAAAACAAAACAAAAACAAAAAAGCTTGAGCCTGACACATTAAACTCGTCTAGACATAAATTACTAAATGACTACTCAGGTTTAACTGCCAACAGGAAAACTCATTTTTCCTTAATGTACTTGGTTGTTGTAGAGTGTCACTACACAGCTGGGATGTGGTGATCCTTCTGCATTCAGCCTCCCTAGCACTGGGATTACAGGAGCGTACAACTATGCCCAACCAGGAGCCCAGCTCTGGGGGCCGAGCTAGCTCAGCAAGTGGTGCAGTGGATCAAACTGCAGTCCCTGGGCTTGCGTTTAAACTTTAGTCTGCTGAACTTCAGCTACCTCACCCACACCCAGGAAAGCAAGATTGTGAGTACTGATTCTATTATTAATAACTATGGT